GACAGATTGGCCCCCGATGTGACTGGGGACTCGGCACAAGTCTCATAAATTTGCTGCCTCGACACCAGGCTCTTTCCGGAGTTCCCTCCGCCGCGGCGGAGCAGGGGCTCTGAGCGAGGGGCAGGCGGGTGGCCCCACATGCTGGCCCTGGTGTCACCGTCCTCCCAATGCAGCGCCCGCCCAGGAGCCGTGCGGGGTCCTCGTCACCGTGCAGGGTCCTCGCCACCTTGCGGGGTGCTCGGCTGCTGCAGGGTACCCGGATGCCCGGCTGGATGTGGGTGCTTGGCCAGCGAGCAGTGCTCAGACTGGGGGCTGCTGGAGGATGCTCTGCCGAGGTGCCGCTCGCAGGGCGCGCGGGTGGCTCCGGGGAAGATTGCCGACGTAATTAAACCAGAGCAACTCCCCTGCCCCTGCGCAGCCCCTTGTTTCCCTGTGATTTATCATGGCATCTTAATTTATTTAAATAACCTGTGTGTCTGTGGACTGGGGGCTGCTGCAGTCCCGGTGATGGAGTGAGGAGAGGCAGCGGGACCCGCGCAGGTCGGCCCCATGGGTGCCGGCGCTCCCGGGAGAGGGGAATTGGCCCCCGCAGGCACCAGCCCCGCTCTGTTTGCACAGCTGATTATCTCCCGCTCCGCGAGCACCTTGCCTTGGCCCTGCTGGATTTCAGCCTCTTTTTTCCAGTCCATTTCTCCAATTTGTCAGGATCGTTTTGAATTCCAGTCCTGTCCTCCAGGATACATGTAGTCCCTCCCAGCGCCGTGTCATCTGCAAATTTAATAAGCATTTTCCCTATTCCATCATCCCGGTCCTTAATGGAGACAGTGAGCAGAGCAGGTCCCGTGCAGCCCCTTCCCTGAGGAGCCGGAGGGAGCGTTGCCCGGATGGTCCGCGCCGTTCCCGGCTGCTGCGGCACGAGGCTGCACCGGGACACAAGGCTGCTCCCCCAGGGCCCAGTGCCACGTGCCCGCGCTGCTGCTACAGCTGGGGCTGTGCCCTGCCATGCTATAGTGTGCTGTGCTATACCGTGCCGTGCTGTGCTATACCTTGCCGTGCTACAGTGTGCCATGTGGCGCCATGCTGTACCGTGCTGTATTGTGCTGGGGCTGTGTCCTGCCGTGCTATAGTGTGCTGTGCTATACCATGCCATGCCATGCTATACCTTGCCATGCTATAGTGTGCCATGCTGTGCCATGCTGTACCGTGCTATATTGTGCTGTGCCATACTGTGCCGTGCTGTACTGTACTGTGTCAAGCCATGCTATACTGTGTTGCAGCTGACTCTATGGCACTGATCGTGCCAGGGCCAGAGGAGCCATGTGGCCATAGGAAATGCCTGGAGTGAGGCTGCAGGTCGGGCACTCCTGCGCTGCAGCTGCCACGCATGTTCTGTTAGATTTCCTTTGTTTTTTTGTCATTTGAGGTAGTCTGATCTATTTGCTGCCCATCCCAGGGAAGCCCAGGGCCAGTCATGGGCTCCCTGCTCCCCGAGCTGCCGGTGGCACCGCTGTCTCTAGACGTGTTTCCCTTTCACATTTGTACAGAGCCTCTGGGGCACCGGGCTCTGCGTGTCTGGCACAGCTGAACTTCACAGGGAATTCTGAGTGCAGCAAACGGCTTCTCCCTGCACCGCTTCTGGGCTGTGCTGGGAACAGGCTGCAGGGCCAGGGCTCTGCGTGAAGCTGCCGAGAGGGTCCCCCGCG